GAAGGCTCGAGATCTTTCAGTACAAGACAAGGCCTTGAAACTACTCTCCTCTCAAAAACAGAAGAAACTATAGAGACAGTATCAGCAAGCTTGGTCACAATTTCACCATTCAGCTTGGCCGCTATCATTCCAATCGCCAAAGAAGATGATGTTGACGATTCTTCTCACAATTCTGGGATTTCGGCAGAATTGCCCACTGAAGCAATGTCAAATATCCCAACTGCTCTGATCCCTTCTGAAAACTCGTCCATTGGGTTTCATACGGTAACACAACTCACTCAAACCACCGCCGCTAGCGATACCTTTAAAATGACTTCTACTCAGGACATTATAGCAACCTCTCCGATTGGGCTGTCAGAGTCAGCTGGAACCATAGTAACAGCTCGAAGTAGTATCTCTTCAGAGAATAGTTTAGGAGCCAGTAGTACTATCGAAGGGATCCATACCATCATCCTACCGACATCCTCGACATTGAAACTGGAGACTTCAACACATACTACCTTTGACCCTTCTTTGTTCCAATCAAGTCGAGAATCATTAGGAACTGAGTACAATTCATTGGATCGTTCAACACCTCTCGAGAAGTATTTCTCGTATCCTCAATCTACTTTCACGTATTTACCGTTTTCTACATTAAACTCAACATATACTGATATCAGTTCCAGTGGAACCTCTCTTACGCCGCCCATACATAACAGGACAACGACGGATTTCACTACAAAACTGTCATCTACAAGTGTAAGCCTTGATCGTACAGAAAGTACAGCAACATCAGTTCCGACACAACCATTCAATACAACTTCAACTGGACCTTTCACTAGGAGTAATGGAGGTTCAACCGGCGAACCATTCGAACTTCCAATTCGAGAGGAATTGAAACACATTTACGATTTGGTATACATTGATGCTTCTTAAGAAAATACAAATGATTCAGGTTGAAACAGAAGGCAGTTTCTCTAGAGCCATTCTCAAGTCCTTCCAAATGGTTTGTTCTTCTTTCCCATCAAATAATAATTTGAAAGATTTAGCTAGGAGCATCTAATCTGAGTTACCTTCTTGATTTACAGAAGGCGATAGAAGACCAGAATGAGGAAATTTCAAGAGTGAGGGTAACACTGTGTAACAACTTTGATCAATTCCCATTTAAGTATTTGGCATCTGTCTTGCAGAACGTGACTCATCAAACAGGGAAAAATTCTTCGGAAATCTTTGAGCTCATTCCAGAAATCGAAAGAATCATCAGGGCAGGAATAGCGTCGGAGTTCGTCATTGAAGAAGTTATCTCGCATTCCCCAACTGTTTAAAATTCATATCTTTTCGCTTAAAGACGGAAAGCATAGTGGATGGATTGTACATGTTACCATATGGAGTAGTGAAGAGTCAGGCTCACACATTAGTTTTCACTGACAGCACAGTGAGTTGAATGATGTTTGCATGACTCAACGAATCGCTTGTATAGATGACTGTACAAGATGGAATCATTTTTATATCGGGAACAATGCTTACAGCATGCTCTCAGAGAGACAATGGTCCTCTTGAAGTCAGCCAGAATAGCAGATTGGTGAAAATTGTCGGAGATTTCGAAAGTTGGATTTCTTTGTCAAATCCAAATAGTACATTCAGAATGGAGAAGCTAACAGGGAATTCCCAACTACTGATACTACATGAACCAACAGAAGTGAATGCTACCTTCCTGAAGAAATTATTTTCGATGTTTAGTTATCATTTGTCGATGATCAGTCAATTAGCGTGTTCACCAAGCTCTGGAATATCAGTTTATCGAGCACTTCAACGATTTCTCAAAGTCAAAGGGATATCACTGTAACATCTTTTGCTTTCGTTGAAGATCTGCACATTCTTCTGAAGGTTGAAAGCTGAAAAAACCAAATCAAGTTTGTGTTACAGAAAAGTTTACAAACGGAACAGTTCAGAAAAGGTGAAAGTATAGAAGCTGCTACTTGTGTTTTCACAATGAATACAGGGGCTGGACAGCTGTCAGTTACATTACGGTGAGGAACTATCAGTAGCGACTATTCAGTTCTATTTTTTCAAAGAGAAGGGTTCATGAAGTTAATAAAAGATGATGGATCAACAATATCTTTCGTGTTCAGCTTCTCTTCCGTTGAGATGAAGCATACAGAGGGTTATTGGGACGAAGGGCTACATTCTCCAGTCATATTCGAAAGTACGACATTCTGCTCTCTGTTTTCGTTTCTATTCGATACTCCCAGATGTGGATAGAAACGTGCTAGTGGAAAACTCAGTTCTACCTGTTCACTTGAAAATTTCTGCAGCGAAGGATGGGTATATCCTTCTTCCCTTGAGCTTTCCCGGTGAGCAGACACTAACAGTTATGAACTTGTTGTTTAGGAACTAACTTGCCTGGGTTAGAGAACTCGGGTTCTGTTGAAAGAGAAATATACCTTGAAGTACTCAATCTAGATTCAGTAAATGAGATCATGAGCAGAATACAGAGACACTCTAGTATAACTGTTAGGGGAGAAGTGAGTTCGCTGTCAATTAACGTAATGACAACACAGTTCAAGTTACTGTACAAATCACGAAATATAACTTTGACTAATTGTACTATCAATATCTTCGGAGAAACTCTGATAGCTTCAAGTGCAGACTCGATGAACTTCAGCCTGACTCAAATGCGCTACAAGGTATGACCGAACTGGGATTTAGAGAATGTGAATTTTCAGCTGAAACACTCAGAAAACATCACCTACTTGATCGTCCAGCAGGGAAGGTTTAATGATTATCCGAGTCATCACAAATGGCAAGAAATATTCGTCATTAGGTGTCACTCATTCTAACATGCGTTTCAGGACCAATCTGCACTTAAGTGGTGATGGAAGAATTTTCATTGAAGGAGGGTTTCTCATAAGGAATGAGACAGGTGTTCTCCTCATCGCCGCGGATATGAGCGCTGAGAAGAGCTTCAAAGAGACTGTTTACAGTAATCCAAATCATGAACATTTGTATAATATCACGGTGAATTCTAGAAACAAGAACGCAAAATGTCTTACTCAATTCCTATAATTATACGATGGAGTTCTTAACATCTGTAGAAGATGCTTTGATTGAGAACGCTGATATCATGACGAGAGAGGAGATGTTCCAGGTAGTTATATAACGGAAACTAGCCCTGAAGACATGGAAACTGTTGTTTGAATACATGAACTTACAGATCGCTGCCAATAGCATGGATACTTCCATTGCTCTGATTGAAACACTGAAAAATTCTGAGAAATCTTTCCTCAAGAGTGATATTAATAGAACAAAAGCATATGAAGAAGAGAACTTCAACGATATTTTCAATGTTCTGCCAGAAGACCCAGCGGATATTCGTTATGTGGAAGAGTACACTGATGACGAGTGGGGAAGAGAAGCGATCCAGATAGCATTCAAGAAAACTGTCAGTTTCAGTTTGAAAACTCTTTTTCAAAGCGTTCAGGCAAAAGCTGCCAGTAGTCAGATACTCTCCATCATGAACACGTTCAGCGATTCTATTGCACAAAAAGAACTTGAGGAAAATGGTCTACCATTCATGCATACAGTTAGTGAGCGAAGAACTTCGCTCTCTGATGTACAAATTCAGATCGAAAGTGGTGATTCTGGGATTGTGTTAGCGGGTGGTAACGAGACAGCTCTTCTAAACAAGGCATATAGATGTCACAATTGGGAAGTGAGTGAACATCTTTTCCCGCGAACATAAATCTTCACGTTCAGATTGAATTTCCTGAGAAGTTTTCTGATCTCAATCTGAATCTTTCTCCTTCGCAGAACGTTTTTCTGAACATTTTCTGTTTTGAAACACAATTACATTTTTATTCTGAGAATAGTGCCGAACTGGCGAATAGCGGGACCTTAGAAGTGATACTCAAAGATGAAAACATGAAAGTATTAAAGTGAGATCATATTTGCGACTTACTCATCGATGGGTTTGAAGCGCGCTCCGTTTCGAATATTATAATTCTCATTTTTCGTTACAATATTTTAGTTTTCGGTTGTTCAGTCGCGATGTTTTATCATATCTTTGTTTCGTTCCTTACCTCGATCAGCCATTTCCAGAATCAGCAAAGCTTTGATACCAATAGTCATTACTCATTCGACAATCAACGGTGAGAAGAGCTATGTTAAAGTCAACCTATGTTCTACAGGAGATATTAGTCAACCGAATCTTTTCCTTGGTACTTTCTCGGAGCAATACACTGTTCTGAATCTAGGATGGTTCAAAATACCAACTTGGAACTCTTCTCTGGAAATAGAAGTATGTTTAAAACTGACTGCTCGCAATGAACCAATTAAGATTCGAACTTTGGACGAACGACAACAGGGAAAAAATGATTTGGAACTGTTTTACCTGAGCTTCCAGTCAATTCCTGGAGTGCGAGACAGACAGTATGATTTCCGGCATGATATAAGTCAATCCGGTATAGCAGTGAGCTTTTTTTTATTTTAATTGTTCCTCAGGCGTTAGCAGATACTTCATCGCAAATGAACTTCTGGAGAATGCTTACAACAATTTCATCTTTGGGCTGGGTCAGCTGGGGCCCAACAGAACTGGAGAACCGATGACGGAAAACATGTTTGAACATATCTCAGGTATCCATAGCTACGCTTATCTTCTTCAGTTCTCTTCTACAGGCAACAGAACTCACGAAATCACCGTTCAAACTAAAGGATGTTATGCTTTCAATTATGAAAGTGAATTATTCGACTCCGATGGGATAGTTGTTAGTTGGAACGTTTTTCTCATCTTCAATATTGATTAAAGAGTAATGATCCTCTTGGAAAGAATCTGATCAAATGTGGAACTACTCATCTATCCTCCTTCTCTGTTGGTCTGTTTGTCACGGAAGTCAATAATAAGTTCAGCTTCAACTTTACCATCGACATAATTTCAGTAAGTTGTAAGGAGATATTCCTGTTGACTGATACACTTTAGAAAAACGTGCAACCTTTCATAATCATCTTGTGTTCTTGGATTTTCTTCTTCGTTGTCTGGTATTATAAGAAGTGCAACACTACAACAACTGATACGACAATAGTATGTGAAAGGCGGTGCTGTGTCAATGCTAAGTGCTTATCCACTGCAGAATCCTCTTAGAACTTTAAAAGGCAATCAAGCTTCATGGAATCATTTATATGTCATCACTGTTTATACGAGTTTCCATAGGCTGTCATCAACCACATCCCGAGTATAGATCGTTATATTTTCAGTCTCAATTTAAATTTCCAGGTATATTTCTCGCTTGCTGGATCGAGAGCAAGTGAGTCATCTCGTGAGTTAGTGGGTGAATATGAGTACGAGACTGAACATCCTCTTCGCTGGGGTTCATGTGCTCGTTTCCTACTTGCGACTCGAGAGTAATTAGTTTTCATCATATATCGGACCTTCTATTTTTTTTAAGATATTTGGGCGATATCCAATACTTACGTTTATATATGGAAGATGATGAATCGGGAAATCTTGTGAGTTGGCATTGTTCGAAGATCAAAGTGTACGATGTGCAGTTGGAGAAAACATATAACTTTCCAATACACGCTTGGCTGTCGCAGGCACAAGGCTGCCAAGTATGATGGAGATTCGTCGTCTTATGCTCGGAATTTATTTTCAGCTAGAGTGTTTGGCTGACCCAATGAAATCAGACGAGAAGCAAATCATCGATCTTCATGCTCTATTCGGGCACATATCTTATTTGGCGGTTTTCCTTAGTTAGAGTTAACATTCACGATGAGAAGAAAGTAATTATTTAAGATAACCAGGATCATTTCATACGGGGTCAGACATACCTACTATCTCTTTTGCTTTCTACTTCGTGTCTCCAATTTGTCTTGATATGGGTGGCAAAGCAGAATGAATGGTATTCCGGAAAGGACATTAGTGTCTTTACTGAGGTGCACAAACTTGCTTGATATTGATATTATCATTTTATAGTTAACCGTTGTTCTCATTCTGGCTGCCCTATTCACTGTAATCAATATGATTGTACCTTACATGTTCAGGTGAAGCGTAGCTCTCCTTCTAATTTCTGTTCTTCTCCAGGAAATGTTTCACAGCAGATGATTTCGCTGTAGTGCAATACTATGAGGCTCTTTTCAAAGATTATAAACGACCAAGAGGCTTCCTCAGTCCTACCTTCCACCAAATCATTCATCTTGTAATCATCACCATCATGGTCTTCTGCTTCATCCATAATACTCACGTAAATAGTCTTTGATTACCTTACGTGGTCAATTGTTGCAGAGCTCTCTGAAACTGTCCGGACAGGAGTCTTTGGCTTTCACAAAACTTTTCTTCTCAATCAGTCTATTGTGGTTGTTGTTACTGGAACCGATAAAGGTTACTAGAACTGATGAAACTTACTAACAAGCGAACATGTTTAGGGATTTCTGAGTTACCTGTGCTCTGTCAACTCCACGAAAGCGCAATGTTCACTTACTGAGATTGAAAAGTCTTTCTTCCTTGATCGAACAAAGTTTACACACAAGTGTAAGGTAGTTTCTTGTTCATGCATGAGCTTCTTCATTCAGTAAACAACACAAACTCCGATTCCGGTGTTATTAAAAACTGTGCGGATTCACTGAAACTTCTTATATCCAGAGTGAATAGAATGAAGTTCTTTCCTCTGAGCTGGAGTAGCGCATTTAGTATTTTCCAGCGAAGCAGCTTTGTTCAGAACAATGAAAGATATGTTCTTCCTTGGTTGTTCTTCTCTTATTTTTCTCAGTATGATGCTTGTATTTCGGGATCAGAACGGCTATCATTATCATCAGAATGTTCGTTTTTCTGCGATTCCACTCCTGCATACTGCCATTCATAGGTCAATAATCTGTTCAATCTAGATGGAAATTCGGATTCGTTTTCCAACATCAAATCGCTTCAAGACTTCTGGGATTGGGCGAATAACTCTTTCGCTCCGAGTAAACAATTTGGGCTCGAGGAATCTTCCAGTGCTGTTTCTTACTTTCAGATATGTATGCAGCTTGGTCAGATGGTAATGCGGCTTATGATATGCGAGGTTTCCTTAACGACAAAGTCTGTTTTGGAATGTGAGCGAATATCACATATATGTTTCAGGTTTCGAGATCTGTAGGTCTGAGCATTCTACGGCAAGTGCGTTCATCAAAGCAATCTGGATCAAATCGTCTTTCAAGCCCGACAATTCTTTATAACAACAGTAAAATGCGTGAGAAGGATTGGGGGATTTCTCCAAAGAAGGAATACCAGTACATGACATCGGATGCTATAGGAAGTTGTGAATTTACCCAGTTCTGTTATCGCTGATTCATAGGTGAAAAAACAAGGGGATACTTCGGATCGTACGAAGGTGGAGGTTATGCCTGCTATCTACAAGGTACTACTTCCGCAATCAGAGCAAGATTTAACAAGCTGAGAGAGGAAGAGTGGATAGACAGAGTAAGACGAAATTCCTTTTTCTCTCAAAAGTTTTTCGAAGCATACCAGATGTTTGTTCCTGGAGATGAGTCTTTATAATGCTTATATCAATTACTTCTCCGTGATTCAGCTCATGTTGGAGATGCCCGAGGAAGGTTAGTCGGGTATAACAAATATTCAAATTCTTTTTTTTGGGTTTTCTCAATCCAAGAGTATCGGTAGAATCGTTACGTCTTCTAAAAGGCGAAGAAAGCAATCTGAAATCAATTGTTGAGGTTGAAAACTGTGTTCTATATGTCTCATGAAAGTCTTGATGTATTCAGGCAGTTTATATTGGTTATTGTGCTGTAAAGTTCTGTTTCGAGTTGTTCAATCTCATGAAGGATAGGAAAGAGAATTTCAATGAGCGGTACCTGAGGAGCTCCAAGCAGTGCATAAGATGGATACTCATAGGGTTAGAATCTCCTTTGTATACATTTCATCATCACAACTTTGCAGTGGATACGGAGTCTGGGAAACGATTGATTTCCTCGTGGGCATCATATCAGTTCTATCTTGCTATTTCTACTTGATGAAATTTTCATACCTGGGAGAGGTGGAAATATCGATGAGCTGAGTTATGGATACGCCTGTTTCAGATTGTTGATACTGCTCTGGAAACGAACGGAAATGTGTTCATAAACCTTACGAGACAAAGAGACATGGAGCTCATGTTCAACATCTCACTCGGTATCATGGGATTCTTCGTCACCATGAGAATCATGAATATAATGAAGTTTTTTCTGCTAACTATGACATTGCTGAGAGATCTTTTCAGGTTCAATCATCGTTTCTCTGTATTAACAGATACACTTCGTAGTGCAGCACCCTCGATCTTACAGTTTGGAGTTTTCTTCTTCTGTTTTCTGAATACTTTCATCTTTGTACTGTACTTTGAATATCAATCATTCTTAGAAAGGTATAACGCATTAGACATACAGAGAAACAGATATTCAGTTATAACACGTATTTCATCACACTGCAGACTTTGGTATCTTGTCTGCTAGGTAAAACTTCTGGTGGTAAAGCTTATGACTCAACGTCTATGGGTATGTACAACTTGTAGTATATGCTTTCCATTATCGACCAGGAGCGACATACTTCATTTGCTTCATGATATTTGGAACTATTGTGGTTCTTAACATGTTTGTGATGATCGTGATGCAGGAGTTTGAAGCTGTGAGAACAGATGCTGACCGTTTCACGGATAGTTACGATATCTATGAACATCTGTTGTTCAAGGTTCTGCTATTTCTCTTTATCATGATTGTTTTCAAATTTCACAGATAAAAAAATCGGGGAACCACGTGAGAAGATCAGATCTTGAAGCTCTCCAATTGTGTCATTCATACAAGCATGTACCTATAATCCATAGATTCAGGAAAACGGTAAGAGAGTAAACCGACTGTTCGCAAAAGCTTTTCAGATTGGAAATGCGTCGTACCAGCTTCGAGCGATTGATGGCTCACTTGGTAGGGATACGAACATAAGAAGAAATGAGATATTGAAGATAACGGAATTCATTACCGGTACTACCTCTCTGTATATCCCTTCTCTATCTGATTGATCGAAGAAGGGAAAAGTTTGTCTCATCGGAGAACTCAATTCAATATTCTGAATTTCTATTTTTCTCTCATTGCTTAGTCTCAACTACATGAACTCTTCTTTCTGTTTTTTCGTCATATACTGTTCGGAAGTGTTCGTTCTATTGAAACGGGGATGGAATATATGTTCTACTGTAAAGCACCTTCATAAATGTGTCTGATCGTTCATTTTATGACTTTTT